TCAAAGTCGCAACCGAGCAAGTTGGTGGCCCAACGCTGCAGTCTGTTCGTTGTGTAGACCGGAATGCCTAACTTTGATCCGACAATTGCCAGCAGCGGCTTATGATCAGTAAGAAGTGTGAACTTTCTCCCATAAAGCATCTCGTGAAATTTCTTTACTGTGAAGACGATCGCCAAGGCCTCCTTCTCTATCTGACTATAATTTCGTTTTGCGGGAAACAATGATCTGGCTGCGTGTGCAATTGCCTTTTCTGAGCCGTCTGCGAATTGCACCAATGCCATAGTTCGAGGTGTCTGCGGCCACCACAACTTCTAAGATAGGGTCATAATGCGTCAGTAAAAGATCGGAACATAGAAGACTTTTCACCTGCTCAAATGATCTCTGACATCCTTTGGACCAGTTTCAGGGCTTATCCATGGTCAGTAGTCCATTCAGCGGGCCACGTAAGCGATGCATATACGGCAAAAACAAACTGTAATGGCTTATGAGTCATAAGAAGTACATTAGTTTTAGAACATCTTCCTGATAGCTTCGATGTTCGCTGGATCTGGACGTCTGCGATTCCTGTCGATTATAAAACCGAGTCCACAAAGATACACTCCCCTGGTCGGAGTCTGAATCCATACTCTTCAACTCGATCAAGGACTCGATCACACTAACCAGCATTGCCGCCGACAACAATGACGTCACCCAGGTACGCAGCTGCGCCACCGACGTCTGTGAACAATGTGTCCATAACCGGTTGAAATATGGCTGGTGCGGACTCGACTCCAAACGGAAGACGGTGGCACTGATAAAAACCTCGGTGCGTATTGATGGTGAGTAATTTTCGTGACGATTCATGTACCTCGATCTGCAGGTATGTGTCGGAAAAATCCAGTTTCGTGAAACATTTACCCCCATTCAGTTTTGTAAACAAATCATCCGGAAGTGGTAAGGGGTATTGATGAGCGTTCAGTGTACCATTCAGACCCATTGAGAAATCGGCGCGTATTTGACCGTTCGGCTTTTTGACGACCACAATAGGTGCTGCCCAGGATGAGTAGTTTAACGGATGGATAACCCCTATTCTCTCGAAATGATCCGCTCATGGTCAATCGAAATGCAACGATCTGCAACTCAGTGTGAGTCTATACATAGTCTAGAACAGATCGAACTCAACATAACAACTATTATGAAACTTACAGTAGGACTGGATCCAAACTCCTCATCTGGCCGTGATGGTCTCCATCCGCTGTTTCTTAAGACGGTGGATGACTACATGGCCACACCCACTAACCAAGTCTTCCATTTGTCTCCGAAAAATGGTCATCCACCTGTCGACTGAAAAACAGTTATCGTGAAGCCCAAGCACAAAGGTTGGAACCCACATGATCCCGTGAATTATCACCCTATCCTCTTGACTTCGATAATTTGCAAGGTCATGGAAAAGATCATCAAACACAGCCTCCAGAAGCACTGTGATGAACAGAACATCACCTCCACACAGCACGGCTTTCAGAAGGGACGCACTTGCACCAATAGCCTTTTAGTCACGAGAGAAAAGAGCAATCGATGCTGATCAACGCTTAGATACTGTCTTCGTAAACGATTGCGTTCGAGAAGGTTCCACATCAACAGCTACTCTGCCAGCCCCACGAAACTTGTCAGTGACAACCTTTACTATAAGACCGCGGATTTTCTAGACGGAAGAACCACGCAGGTGAGGGTGAAGGAGACGATTTCTCAGCCAGAGCACATGACTAGTGGAATTCCACAATATTCTGTGAATGGACATGAAGTTTTTAAGCTACCTGTTAATGACCTTCCTGAAACGCTTTAAACGGAATGTCTAATCTATACTGTGACCTTAATCTATAACCTGAGGTGTCCGAACTAGATGCCACTGAAAGGTCACAAGACTCGCTATATCTACTTCACCACTGGTCTATCAAATGCGGACTACCATCAGATGTGAAGTGTTGCGGTCTTCCGGTCGGCGCGTCTAAGCCACTCAGCACCTACCATATTGGTGGCTTCCCTCTCAACAACGCTGCTCGAGAGAAACACTCAGGCGTAATAATAGCCTCTAAACTATAGACGACCAAGAATATGCTGAGCGGTCGTTGCTCACAGGGTGTGCTCCGCTATAAGATCATCCTCCCGAATGATACCAGATGTCCTCAAAGCTTTGTTTACATCTTATGTGCGTCCAATAGTCGAGTATGGCTTACCAGCTGGGATGTGCCCTGATTGAATAGGTCCAGAGACGTGGTTCGAAGTCTGTCTTTGAATTTCGGAATCTCACCTAGCCCTTCCGGCTCCAACAGATGAGACTTTTCTCTGGACTACCGCCGACGCCGCGGGCACCTCAACTTTATCAGGTGAATATTATGGGTGAAGTTGGAAACGAACTCCAACAATTTTTCCAGCTCAACACAGGCTACACACGAGGTCAAAACTTGAAGTCATTTAAACATAGGAGGCCCCAAGCTCACTCTAATGTCGCCCTATCCATCCGGGTGATAAGACTGGAACCGTTTTCCGGGAAACGTTGTTCATGCTGTCTGGGGAAAGTTTCAAGCGGTTGTTGGATTCCTACTTGTGTAAGACACCAGGATCGCATTGTTCTACTGCGACCGCCCTAGGACTGCTGACCGCAACATGTGCTCCTGTCCCGAACTGGAGGTGATGGGGCAGACATAGGACTTCCAGAATTCCATGAACGAAACGATATCCTGGACTCAAATCGATCGTGCTGACATAAGCCAGAGATGGTGCATGATAGTGTAAGACTGTCGGCTGATGTATGGCACCCAACCGGATCCAGACTATGCCTCACATCGCACCTGAAATAACACTAAATCTCCCGGCTTCGGAGGTGTAAAAAGATTTAAAGCTAATTAACGGCCGCTTGAAATCGCAATTGGGCAAACGGAGGTATCAAGCTGTTAGGCCACCGACTGTCGCCGAATGTGTACCAGATATTAAAGCAATAGAGAAAAAGAGTTGGTAGCCTTCGGAAACCGTCGGATGTTGTTCTAACTCACCAGAAATCCATGTTCGAGAAAGCTCTCACTGGGAAAAAGAACTGCCGAGGAAAGTAGATAACACATTCGCTCTCGAATCTGTGGGTTAAACATTGGGCGAAAGTACTACATCGGCTACGGAATCGCAGGAAGCCACCTGAAAGGTTCTTCTATCCTCCTCTAGGTTCGTAGTCTCGTACGTACTGGCGTAAGCTGCTAGTCGCCATGGGTTTGATCCCCAGCAGGGGACCGAAAGAATGCGCACCACTGACGAGCGCCAATAGAGCGAAACGATCGCCTAGTGTTTTTCTCGATTAGGTGACCAAGTTGGCTTGTGAACAGATGGGATGAACCAGCAAAATACATCCAAGAATCCTCCTACTCGTTAGCAAAATAAGGTGCCTAGACCCAAAGAACATTTTATAGCTAATGAAAAGTGGCGACTCGGCCGCTCTAGCTAATGTTATGCTGTCCCTTGAGATAATTTCACGCTAGATACTGACAAATGTCGCTCTATCACTAAAAATAGACCGAAAGAAGTCGTAAAGAAGTTAAGCAAAATCATCCGTGCGCCGAGATGCACTGCATACAGTTGTCTTATGTTGCAAAACATAAAACCTTAGGAGAAAAAGGAACAAGAGTTAAAAACCGGGTAGAACAGCAAAAGGAAAGAATTAAAATGACGAATGTAATGATGCTACTGCCTCTTTGACTGCGCAGTACCCAAGAATATGCTGTGTGAAAAGCGCTCCGTAGGTGCATCACTACGCGGCGAACTTATGGGTCGCGGAAAAATGGATACAGCTAGGCTAGGTCCCGCCATAGTAGAGCACATTGACCATACACCTACATGCATTTAGGCGCATACAGTGCCGCAAATGCAGGCGGCCTATCATGGTAGTTACATTCGATATGAAGGCACCGCACGAGTCCTGTCAACCTCCTTGGCGATCTGAACGAAAGGAGTGACATAGTTACCAATGAAGGTGAACAGATCAAGTACTTTCAGACACTGCTCCGAAATGACGAGAACAGGTGGCACATGGGTATTGATGGCCTAAAATTTAAGTGGACCAAGTACATGCCGAGGTGCGTAGTGCTCCGCGTTGTTGTCCAGAAACGCTTGCGCAGCGGTCCGGTTCAATCTAAAGAGAACTACATACTGCTTGCACCCCAGGGCAGCCGGCAGTACTGTTGCTTATAGTCTGCATAAAAAGGGCCAAAGGGACAAGAAACTCCTCTTGATAGAGCACATATGTGAAAGCAGTGATGCTGACCAGTTAGCATTTCTAGCTAGTGACCGAGCCTTTTCATTGCTCTATCATTGAAATCTCGTCCGTGTTTGTCTGCACGCGCTCTCTCGTTATGCTGAGGTGGATCGCGACAGTTAGATTAACAGTACTTTGGTGATGACTAAATTCAAAAGTGAAAATACCACACTTCAATCAACGTGATCGGGGCTAAGGTAATCCATCCATGATTCAGAAAAACGGTCTCAAACTTAATTTGCATTGTATTGGAGGTGATTTCGCGGAAAGCTGTCTTAGGTAACGAATAAACAAGTGGGAGCTTGTGAACTTATGCGAGATCTAAGGGTTGGACGTGGAGTGATGAGCACGGTGGTAAGATAGGAGTCAAAAGGAAATGCAAGTGGTAATCAGGGACTGCTGTGAATCACTCGTAAATGACGATGCATTTAAATCGAGCTTCGGGTAGCCAGCCGTTCGGTGGACGCTAGGCTGAACTAGGGGACTCCGAGGTGGCCGTGCTGGGCGCACAGCTGAAGAAAGTCGTGACTGTGGAAGCAGACAGGCCAGTGACTGAAACGTGCAAGTAGGAAGGAGTTGAAGTCTGACGGGATGGAACAATAAAGGAAACTGTCGTTTCTAATAGGTGTAGCAGTGCCAGAGCTTTATTCTACATCGTTAATGAAAAAGGAACTGCTAAAGTGTGGACCGATGGCAGGTATGCGGATCGAAAACAATAACGAGTGAAGACAGTGTATAAATATATTTCGAAAATGTGGTTGGGGATAATCGATACACGGCGCTTAAAGATCTGGCGACATGTTCATCGATTTCACTTGGCCGCCTCTTTCTCCTTTTCAATATCTGTCGGAGTAAAGAAGGAAATAAGCGGATTAACGATGTGGAGAATGAAAGTTCAGTTCAATCGAACAACCAGGATCTGAGTTCCGAAGTGCGGTGGATACAGTTGCCACGACTCACATCGCAAGAATAACAATAGATAACAGGGGCACGATAGTGGAGCTAAAGGCAGATGGGATGTAAAAAATGGAAGTGGGTTAAACGAATATGGAAACGAAAATTAGCAACCAGATGCAAAAAACCGAACGCAGCAACGCCACTGGCTGCGTGGCTGTGTTATGTCTGATACGGTCTCTAGTTATTGGTGCGGACTATCCCGAGGCCCCCATCCGCGAAAACGGCACGCGCCAGCTTAACCAAGTCTCTCAGGCAATTTATTTATGCCACCTCATAGACTGGTCAACTCGTGGTTTAGACCAATTTGGTTCAACCACGGCGCATAATGCACGCCGAGGAAGTCGGTCAACGGGCATACAGAGAACACGGTCCAGCTAACCTAAGAGAATAAGATTTGATAAACATTCGAAGGCTTCTTGCCAAAAACTAACTGGCAGACCTCAGCATTGCTCACTCGGTGTTCCCAAAGACGTGAGTAATAATCCGTAAGCACCGGTGGTCAAACACGATCAAGTGTTTTATGTCTTCGCCGCGAAGTGGCCAGGTCTCTGATCCATACAATAACACTGGCTTCATTGCTGCATTGTACACCCTATCTTTCACTGACAGACTGATATTCCGCCGTTTCCATAGATGGTTAAATCTCTGGAAAGCCACACGGGCCTTGATGACGCGTGAAATAACTCGTTCAGTGACGTGACGACCAGAATCGACACAGCTACCAAGGTAAACGAACCAGTCAATCACTTACAGTGGCTGTTCGGTGACAGTTAGAACCGGAGGTATATCGATCCAGTCCTGTAACAGTATTGTGCACTTTGAAGGTGCAAAACACCTCGGAGCGTGAAGCGCTACGCGTCAGCCTATCCTGTAGTGTTTGTATACTATTAATCGTTTTATTTGAATCCTCGAGGAACGGAAAACAAGGATGTCATCTACATCTCGTTTGTAATACGGTAGTTGAGAAATCGCTCCACTTAATTCCCTTTCAAACATCAAGTGAAAAATCCGCCAGTACTGGGCCCAGTGGACCACGCATAGCTGATGTATCAGTTTGGAAATGTGTGCTGGAATCGGAATCCGTGCAAAGTAACAGGGACTGTCTCATGAGGTTCGCCGGTATTGGTAGGCGGAAATTCTCCTTTTCTATCAGGTGACAAATGTAACCAACTGTCTCTAGCAAAGGCACGTTAGTAAATAACAACTACACGTCCACAGAATTCGAGTCGAATGGGCATTTCCTATATCTTGACCTTCTTATGAGTCGCAGGCTCATTAAGTGATCTCTATGCCGGAAGTCAACATAGTCCGGCCAATACCAACACTTAAGCACCTTCTCATCGATGACACAACAGCGCATGTTGGTGAAAACACTGTTCACTCGGGCTAGACGTATCTGCTCGAACGACTGCCCAACTGAGGGACCTGACCTAATCATAATAGCGCTTATGCAAAATGGCTACCCAAAGCGATTCATGTACAAACATAGTCAGGTTAGACCGGCTAAGGGAACGGTGTTGACGGCACCGAAGAAAGTTATACATCGAGTTACCATTCGAGGGTAATACCGCAGCAAGGACAACTAAAGGCATAGCCTCGGCCATTCAGCGTACGTACTGCGCCGCGGAGACGGTAGTTATCAACAGAACCCGAAAGTTGCTGTTGACTTCAGTCAAAGAGGAATCCATTGGCTCAAAATCGCATTGCATGTACCAATTCGTGTGACCGCGGAGTCAGTTACGTCGGCAGAACCGACCGGGCTTTGGATTCTAGAGTGAAGGAACACTTACCAAATTGGGTTCAACGCCAAGTTAATCAATTCTCTTCCGACGATACGTGCTCGCGTAAGCCGCTGGCGTCTGCCATGAGCAGTCACATTTTGGCACCACGTCACCGGCGTTCCGGAGCTTGCTGTTTTACACAAATTCATGCTTTTTGTGATTTGCCATGGCGCTCGCGATAAGTCGAATTAGACCACCTTTATGTGTCCAAAACCGACTAGTTGTCCACCTGCAGTTGCTGTGGCCTTAATACCAACAACAAAGAACGTGATGCGCATGATTGTGCCCTACGACACATAGAAAAAGATTTCCCGGTTATCGTATTGATAATCACGAGATAATACGAAGGGTTCTCATCTGCCAATGTTCGTCTTCTCATTTGGTTGCTAAAACTACTGAAGAGAACCAAATGCTTTAAACAGAATTGCTGTGACTGGAGCAGGGAAAACTACGTGGCACAATTAATTTAATAATTTGGAGTTTGATCAATAAAAGCGATGGCTTGAAAGTAGGAATGCTGCGCAGTAGAGCATATAGGGGAACGCCAGCAACTCTACAGAGTAACAGGGTAGCCTGACAATTTCCACGTTCGCTTGAGGAAGGATGGTGAAATTCTTCTAGAACAGTTTTACCACGTATCCAGGTAATCTAAAGTGCCTGTCCGCATTCGTTTGCATGCGATTATTCGCCATCTGCGAGTTCGAGTCGCCCTCACGTTTTTCTGGGTTGCTGACGGTTCGATTATGATCCCGGAGCTAGCCCGGTGTACCGGTGCCGTCCTAGCCTTAGGTTAGACATTTTGTACATAGACTATCGGAATATACTGCCTCGGCGCATACCATTGGTGATTCTGAGTGAGCAGCAGAGTTGTGATGATTAGTTGCCTTTCGCATTTCGCTCCAAGGGTAACTGTCCTCATCATTACGGTTTTGAATCAGTTTGCGAATAGGCAGAGCCATCAAAACCATTGAAATCAAAGAAAGATACATATGCCACAAAAAGAAAACCGAACACAACACAGAGAAGAGGGCAAGAAACTATCGGGTTGCTCAAACCGAAGTAGGATGTTGACCAAGGGGACACCACCCGAGCCTTTGGCTAAATGGCCTACTCGAAAGGCAGCGGGACGAATTCAGGGAATCACGCTTATTGCGAGCCGGTGACTGATTGCTCACTTCATACGCCTTTAGCTTGGTCGGTTAACAAACAGTGGCCAAATCCACCCCACAATTACAGCCTCGCGTTGATGGAATACAATGCTTTACCGGAATGAAGCGATGGGGCAGTGACTTTATTTAGTGACGAGTCACATCCGCCACGTGGCAGTTGTTAAACAGACATATGTGACTTTTATAGGGAGAACGCTCGCCAAGCGAAAAGCCACTACGTCACTACAGTAACGCCAATACAGAAAGTGATCCGCCGACTCATGCCCACATATGGAGAAGTTATCAACAGTGTCGATAGTAACAACGATTGGGTGGACTCAGCGATAGTCGTGGACGCCTAGTACTGCTCTGCCAGTGTGAAAAGAATTGTAACAGCTAAATGATCCATAATACATGATAGGTAGAAACGGAGGGACTAGGTAAGGGAGACAATGAGAAGGGTGCTAAATTGGGATCTGGATCAAACAATCGGGATGTAACGACAATCAACATTACATCCAAAAGCTGCGTTGGCATTTCGAAGTGTCGATATTCAGCACTAGGCACAAGAAAAAACACACTGGTTTATTGTTAATGAGTTAATCAAAGCCAAAGGGAAACAGTAGCAGTACTTCGGCTCCTCATGTGCTTTACGCAATGGATGAAGTGTATGATACCAGAAAAGTGATAGAGATTAGGTACAGAAATGCAGTTGCAAAAAGTAATTATCAAAATAAGCTACCGAAAGCAAACCAAGTCTAACTTTGCCTACTATATGAGTGTAACAGAGAAGACTGCAAACGACAAGGTGAAGTTGGTAACTTAAATACCCATAACCTGGAAAAAGTTTCTTAGTGAGTGCTCACCCTCCTTTGTGGGTAAAGGATTCTTCAAAGCTGTTTCAGTTGGTTTGAGAGTATGGGGGTGAGTAATTTCGTTCAGAAGACTTTTCTCTTTCTTTTCCTTTTGGATTGCTGGTGAAAAGTATGATAGATTATAGGGAATACATTATAATAAACAGCCAATAGTTGGTAAATGTTAGGGTGCACACGGGAGCACTAGGATCAATTTTGAGTAAAAACAATGAAACAAGGATATCCAACATTTCGAAATGTTGCATTCAGTAGGTCATCATGGACTAAGGCCACCCAATAGAACAACAGAAAAGCGATGACATTGTTGTGCTTTTCGTCGATGACCAGCACACAAAACCTAGTAACCAAAACAGATTCAACGATTACGTAGTCAGCAACACAATCTAAAATTGAAGGAGCTATGGCGATAAAAGTAGTAGTCTTCTGCGATTAGTAAAGGTGGGGTCAAGAATGAAGGTTAGTGGGCCATAAATCTGCCCTGGCTCAATATGAAAGCAACAGCATGGCGAACTGGAGATCGTGACGAGCGTACGCACCAAAGCAGCAATCTGGTTCCGTTAGCCAAGTGTGATCTGTGCAGTGGTACTAGTGGCCAAGGCGGTCAACATAATTGGGGAAGCAGAGGACAAGAGGAAAATATACAGGTGGATGTTCAAAGTCAAAGTGGAGAACTGTTAACGTTAGGTAAAAGAGTACATAGGCGGCGGACAAAATGAACGCGTGGTTGTGCGAATGCGCCATGGCCTATACCAATGTCTATATTGTTGCCGGGTAAAAGTCATACGTAAGGCAAGGTTTCCACAGTATCGGATGTAGAAAACATCAAATTGACAGGACCGCACGGATAGGTGCTCAGGTAGCACGTGCGTAATCTACGTTTCGCCATAACCGGGTAAACAAATCAGAAAAGTGAGGGATGTGGGCCGATATTGACCGCCAGTTGCATAAGTCTCAGAAACGCGGCAAGAACCAACCGACCAGTAGCAACTGGTATTTACATAACAAACGCATAGTGAGACAGGTTCTCCCAAGCTTTGTATTATACTTGCGTTTAACCTCACTTTCTACACGTTGCTTATTTTGGTGACCTGTCGTGGCAACTGGAACCAGCGCAGTTCAGTGTCCGAATCATACTTGTTCAACTGAAATGTAATGAAACTAATGGACTTGGATATGCGACGACGATGGAAATGGATGAGCCATGAGTGACAAGTGGATAGATAATGTATCGATTCTGCACCTAACGCACAGTCGTGTCCGTATTCAACCGGCAGTTAACACTCCATTCCGAGCAAATTTAATCTACTTAAGCTTTTTGTTTGCAATCTACCTAGCCTCTTTGACTATCGTTATTTATGATCTTAGTGACGTGACTAGTGACAACTGGATCCAGCGCACTTCGGTGCCCGGATAATAACTTAACTGATCAAACATTCTAGTTTGACAGATAGACTAGAATGTTGGTTTCACGCGGAAAAGACATCTCCACGGACGAGTGTTTGCTAGGTGGGTAGCGTGTAATTAACACCCAGTATATGCTGTTGATGCAGGCCAAATTCAACGGCAGAAACAGGCTCATTAAGGTGTGAGCCGCAACACACTAACGTGAGTATTTAAGTAATCGGGTCCCTTTCGACACGGAATAATGCCGACGGCCTCTTACAATCGAATTCCTTGGGATTCTAGTGTGTTTCATTGAACATTCCCTCGCCGCGACCACTAACTAAATCGTGAAAACGAGAACAAGGCGACAAGTTATTCCGCTCCGGTGCTCGAGTCGTGTTTAACTAAACGGACTGAACCCGCGGTTATCACCAGCATTCTAAGCGTTAGTTAGAAGTAAGAGACATCGCAACTATTGTATCGCGGTTGACGGGGTTGGTATATGTCACAATCTAGAGAAACAAAATACTAAGCATACACTGTGCTCGCTTGATGGAGCACTCTAATAAGACCAAATAGTAGCTAGAAGAGTAAGTAAGCTACCTACAAACGATAGAAAAATATTTTTGTACAACCCACTGAGACCGCCGTAAAGCGGCAGATTGCCGAATGAAAAACCACTTCGACGGCGAGTGGAAGTTGGCTAGGAGAAAATAGAGAACAATCCGGACTACAGTACAATCGCTCAGCAGGATAAGCCGAAGCAGAGGAACTTAAAACTTAACATCCAAAACAGCGAGGGTGGAAAACTGGGAGTCACGTCAGACCAAAAAATAGTGATGACGCGGTTGTTTCGGGAGACCCTGTACTCGGATAGGCGGAAACTGAGAAGATAATCACCAATCAATTGATTGAGGTAGAGGAATTGAACTAGAAAAGCTAGCGTATCAAGTGAACGTGGAAGACCAAAGGAAAAAGAACACCGTAAAGAGAAAAGCGTATAGCGACAGGATAAAAAGCAGTACCAGAAACAAGTGGCAAGAAGCCGGGCCTTGGTAATAATGCAGAAATAAATGTGTGCATGTCACTCATTTCGTGTGGCCAAAGACGAAAAATATTAACGAGAAACTGCTGCCGGTATCGTAGTAAGGAAATTTATCAAAACAGCAGATGGGGCTGTGAACGCGTTGAAGGGTCGCCATGAGGCCACGTCAAGTTTAAAGAACGACACAGGCTTATGCCTTACGAGCGTCCTGCTTCCCGTACCGGCTCTTCCACGTCCTCACGACGCGGCCTCAGAATTCACCATAAGAGGTTATACAGCTTCGAAGCCCAGTGAAGTTACAACAGGTTCTAAAGGGCTAAATCTCATATGGGTCATTAGTGAAGCTTAATACTGTATCGCATTTCACTAGATCATAAGGAAGTATATTCCGGCTGAATAGAACACCAATCGCGAGTACTTCGTCTTGATATCTAACCTGACCTGGTGTTTGTGCCTCGCAGATGATCAAACAGCAACCTTGGACAAATCGATAGACTTGTGGCTCCTGAGGCATGTCACAATTTTAGGAAAATGAAATCGAAGCCCCTCAGATTATCTTTATGTGGCTTTCCAGGTTTGTATTTAGGCATTCTGGTTGCCAGCTTCTGCAGCTTATCAATATACGTTTAAGCTCAAGATGAACTGGAATAGTAAAATATTCAAAAGGACGTTACTTTAGAAACGCATCATTCAGCTAAAACAGAGGTAGTTAATCAGTTTTAAGCCGAAGAGAACCAAATCAATACATTCGAATGATGTTGCGGCCAAAAATCAGCAAAAACGCGAACAAGATTAGCAAGCCCCACTGTACCGACTATGTGAAAAATGATGACAGAAAACCGATAGTATACAGAACTCTCACGCAAACACGGGAATATAAAATGAGGTAACGGCACAAGAGAATGACCAGGAAACTGAAGTAAGGGTACAAAAGGATGGTTTGAAACTGCAGACAAAGGGCGTTCAATTTTTTCGTTGGTAGCGTGCTTTAAGGGATAAGAATTCCAGATGAGGAACGAAAATCAGACATAATCCGATCACAGCGGAGCTTATAAAACTTCAGTGAGTGACCCCGAGCGAGTTAGAAAAGTCGAAACACATCGGGGTTAATCTGAATAGAAAGCGCCCAAAGTGAGGCAAAAACATTCGCGACCATGCAGCCGATAGAGGCACGATAGGAAGACATATGTATTAGGCAGGCACACTGCACCGAGGCCTCGTAGACACGCGACCGTCGATAGTCCGTCAGAACTGGGTGTACCATGAAGTCAACCGCACCTACGCGGATTGGAACCGGCGACCGCATAATTCATCACCACCATAACATCAGAGCTAGAGGCGAGAAACACCTCAGCTATTGTGACGCAATACAAAAGATTAGTCAATACAGAATGCTAAATAAGAACCGACAAACAAGCAAAAGAATATTGTGCGTGGAGAAGGATCTTAGTTGGAGAGTGGGAGCTAAGCAGAAGAGACGAAAGAACGCACAACACAAATGCCACTGAGATCGGTTTTTCGCCATTTCAAGAAGTGCATCCAAGCAAACGTGTTCGTCGTTTTTCGGACCCGTCTAGCAGTTAGGGGGCACCAAACGAGACCAAGTTAGAAGTGAGGGTCTTTATTTCGCCTGATGACGTTATCACTGCCTTCCCTCTTCTTTTGACATTCGGGGCCGGGTCGCAAAAAGGAAGAGGCACCAGCAGTAGGTTGACACATCGCATTGATGCGAGAAAAGCAGCAATCAAGTATGGGTTGTATATACCGCGAGGTCCTCCGCACCTAAGGGGACAAGAACCGGTGACCTCCGGACTACAAGACAAGCGTGTTATCTTTCCGGCCAAAGGCATACCTCGGTAGAACACAGCAGGGCGAACGGCGGTCCAAAGTTGGTCTGCTTCAACGTACGAACACTTAAGCAGATTCGGCAACCGGTCGGCCTGGCGAGTACCCCGGAGCCTCACGCCATTGAAGTTTGCTACGTTTCTGAAATTCAGTTGCAGGGTCTCAGCAGTGTACTCAGGCTGACATCCCCTTCTGATCGCAGGACTACATACCAAATGCCTATCCAATGACGCAGAAGCAGCTGCAGCAAGTGTGACTGGTGTTGAAATAGCACCAAGAAAGCTGTACCTGCGTTGCTCGACTAATTCCACTATGAGCAGTTCGGCTTCAGGGATCATGTGTCAAACTGCATCGCAAAGGAACAAGAAACTTGTTTGTTACTTCTGCATGCGCCTCAACTGACTGCAGCCGCGACTAAGGACGATTTTTATTGCAAACTTCCTCTTCTTTTGAGTAAGGTGGACAAGTCGGATGTCGTTATACTTGCTGGTGATTTTAATGCATGGGTCGGCTATCTGCCTCCATGTGAACGCCACAACGCGCTTAACGAGACGCTCAGATAATGGAGACCGGCTGCTCACATTGTGTGTGGACAACCACCTGTTTCTCTCAAGCACTAGTTTCACGCATAGCAAGAGACGTTACACAAACTGATGCTCGCCATCGTCAACCGTTTCCGTCGGCAATGTAGTATACAGGACTGCAGCTCATTCTGGTCAACCTATCTTGACTCAGATAACGCGTTGGTTTGTGCCATCTGTATGCGTTTCGGTGGGCCCCGGAAACTACTGCTGCGTAAGGTTGACACAGACAGGTTAGTTGACTC